GCTATGCTGTGGCTGTGTCTGCCTGTCACTGGGCTATGCCCTTGGTGGCTGTCTGTCCTCTGAAGCCAGGTGCTCTCTGCCACTGGGCCTCCCAGGGGCTACAGACCCTGATTTGCCTGACAACCCCAGACCCTGGGCAGATCTAGGTACATGAGTGTGATCCTGTTTATATGCAACTATGTGTAAGGGTGTGTGTGTGTGTGTGTGTGTGTGTGTGTGTGTGTGCAAGCACCTATGGGTGTATCCTTCCTTGCGTCTTGAGAAATCACCAAAGGCAGCAAGCTATGGCTGTCACTTTAGGGACAGACAAAAGCAGTGGGGGTAAAATCCAAGAGAGCAAGTCCAGCAGGGCTTCTCAAAGGTAGAAAAGCAGAGGCTGGCAAAGGGGTTGAGCATCAGGGTAAAGGCAAGTGGGAGGGCAGCAGCACACTGGAGGAAGACAAGGGACAGGAGGGCAGCGTCACAGCGCTGTGTGCAAGGCAGCTGCAGCGAGTCTGGAGCCAGATGCCACCCAGATTCTGGGGAGACAGAAAAGGCAGTTACCCAGCCATGCTGCCGGGTTACAGAAGTCTGCCAGGGCCAGAAAAGGCTGGCAAGGAAAGGAGCCAGGTGGAGGGGTGGCCTTTCACAGGGGAAGGGGCACAGCCACGGGGCCACGATGCTGCAGCAGTGAGCGGCTGGGGTCCAGCCAGGGCCTGGTGTCTGAGGACCTCCAAAGAGCGGCTTTCAGAATGTGCTGTTGACAAGGGTCAGAGGAGGAGATAAGGCTGAAGACTTGGGTAGAAATCAAAGGGGAGGAAAGGGTGGGTTTGTGGGCACAAAGGGAGGCTGAAGGGAAGGAAGGGACTGAGGAGGGAGCTGAGGGGCTGAGAGAAGGAAGATTCAGCAGGCCCGGGAGAAGTGGTGGGGAGGAGGAGGAGGGAGGAGGAGGAAGGGCTGCAGGGGGGGAAAGAAGAGGAGGATGGGGAGGAGCAGGGCGGGGAGAGGGCTGGGCTTGGAAGCAGCACAGAGCTTCTGTCCTGCAAGTCCCCCGGGCATCAGAAAGAAAGGCTGGGGAGGTGTGCACGTGTGTGAGGGTGCTGTGAGCCCACTGCCCAGCAGCGTGCAGTGAAGCCTGGCTTTACCCACAGAGGACGGATGGACAGCGGATGCACAGAAGTGAGGAGGAGCCATTCTGCCCCCCAGGAGTCCTTGGGTGGTGGGTGGCCTGTGGCCAGATCTAAACACAGACCCGTGTATACTCAGCTGCTTCCAGATTTCCAGGTCTCATTTCCAGGCACGCAGAGGTCAGTGTTCTCTGTCAGGTACAGTGTGAGTGTGGGCTTATACACACGTGTGTGCGCACACAGACTCGTAAGTCCACGCACACATAGGGGCACATATCACCAGCCCAGACTCAAGGACTTACATACCACACACATGCAGCACCCTTTCCCAGAAACACATACACCCCCAGGTGAGGGGAGCAGGGCCTGGGGCCCTGCTGGTGTCAGCTGTGTGTCCCATGGGACCGTCTTGAGCCCTTCCCGGTCCCTGGATGGTGACTTCTGCAGGACCGTCCTGGTCTGGTGCAGCCCTATCCTATAGGACAGCTGTCTGCCTTTGTACTCCACTTCCCCTTTTCAGGCCCTCATCCTCCTGCCTTCCCCGCTGGGTGTTGCAGTTTGCACCCTCCCTGGCCTTCTCCCTGCTTCTCAAATGCAGGAGAAGCCAGAAAACAGTTAGAAGCAAGCAGCCGGCTACCTGGAGGTGTCACATCATACAGTGGGCAGGATTGCCAGACATATGGGGAGACCCTGACACTGTGAGGGACAGGAGTGGCCTGGGGTTGGGGCAGCAGCTTAGGCAAGGGAACGGGGGAGGCAGAAGTACATGAGGAACAAGAGAGTGGGAGTGATTCATAGTCGTTCATATGCTCATTCAAAAATACATT